AAGTTAGCGGACGGACGGACGGACGGACGAACGGACGGACAAAGTGGCCACAATAGCGCATTTTTTTTTATTTTTGTGGAAATGCGCTAAAAAGGCATCGTTTCCCATATTTTGAAACAGATTGTTTTGTGTTTGAAACGCGAAGAGGGTTGAAACGTGCTGATATTTCTCTCCTATTTATGCAAGGTATGGAATTTATAAATTACCAACGGTAAAGGCGCAAAAGGGTGTAGACTTGAGTTTTATATTTAAGTATATAGACGTAGATACTTATATTGTAATTCCTTTTAGACAATGAATAAAAATACGTTTTAGATAATTCAACAACTTCCACCTTCGCTTCTCAAGTAACAAGTAAGCATCAGGATCAAGTTAACATTTGTTGTCAAAAACTTGTGTGACAATTTGCTGAAACGGTTTTATTACCTCTTGGAACAAAAAATTTAGTTCTAAAGATATTTTTTAACAAAAATATGTACAAATATTTCGTACGACAAATCCTTATGTAAGGATCTTTCTGCAAAGTGTTAACATCTACAAAGCGTAAGTTCCACTCACTTCTGAGTTTTATATGTAGGTAATTTGTAAACATGTAATTTAAGTTCTGTGTTAAATAATGTAATGTGATTATATCTAAATACACTTTAATTTAACAACTGTGTGTTCTTTATCGATATTTATGATTTAGATCGAATTGGGGAAATTATTTCATGAAGCTGGTCACCAGATGGCGCTACTCTGATTTTGATGTTTTAGTTCACAGTACACCCACCAGGGTCCGCCAAAATACCATACAAATTTTTAACATTGCTGTTTCTATTCTGAGAAGGCCGTATTCTGTGCGTACAACTTCATTATTTTCATTTTCGCTATTCCATCTTGACACTTTCAAATTCGATGCGTCGGTAATACAGTGATCTTTTCCTTTGAGTTCAATTCAGCAACTTAATTTATATTAAAAACGGTCTAAATTAGCATGGGATGTTTTATTTAATTTAATATTGATTTTCAATTATACAATTTTGCATTCACATTTTGTTTTTTGTGTTATTAAATCTAATTCTTAGATTTGGGCAAGTCCTATATTTCGATACAAAGGGAAGTTACAACCAGATAAATTGACAGATCGATTCTTTGTTTTTTATGAATCTTTCTCATTGGCTGGCTGCGGTGAGTTTTTTTAAAGCCATGCCCAGTGATTAATTATTACTCACTGCTGTTATCCAATAATGTGAAGAATTTATACTCTTACTTCATAAAATTGGAACGTTTAATGTATTCATTAACCCATATGAGTAGAAAAAGTAGTTTTCTTGAAGTTCACGTCACGTATGCTCTTTGAATTTCACCAATTTGTACTGACGATTCGTTGTCGGTCAAAATTTTGCTTTTGTTTAGTTAACGTAAATTGAATTATTGATTCAAGGGAGTGTTAATTACGGTTACTTGATTAGTGTCGGATGTTAGACATTGCTGTCGCAATATTTATACGCCACGCTATCCACAATCCCTCTTGTTTCTTTGTATTTTATCTGTTACAAATAAGGCAGAAAAGCGCCCTTCTGAGCTCAAAAGACCGTTCCGACCTGTGGTTCAAAAGGCGACTCCTTTGATTACATACTGGTCTTCGATACAATCGAATTGTAATTAGTACATTTGTTTGAATAGTCGTTTAACCATTGTAGCTCCGTTGTTTTCTGGGGAAGCCTGTCTTGATATAGATAATGTCCAGAGCGTCAGTAATAAATATGTATATCGTATAGTAACACATTGACAGACACAATTTACAATTCCTTAACCTATCCTCATAAAGGGTAATCCACCCTATCCTCAATGCTGTAACTTTGCTTTTTTCCCTTGAAGGCGCTAAGTTGACAATTTGACGGAAAAATTTCCCCATTAGAGGTAGAGGTGGATTCGAGGATGGATTACTTCGTGTGATCATTGTCTACAGTCTCTCCCAATATAGAAATCAGTTTTATTAGAAACTGCGCAACACAGTGGTTCACGGATTAACAAAAATATATAAAAATGAAAAAAAGGTTATCGCAAGTAATTTTAGCGTATTCTCCATGAATTGATCAGTGCTTCCTAAAAGGTCATTAACGGACTATTTATGTGTACAAAAGAAAATATTAAGTTACAGTATAAATATTCTTATAAATAAGAAACTTAGCATTGCGTAGTCTGCACATGCGATATGGTTGCCTTTACTAGAAGAATCTTTGGCTAACATTCCTATCTCTACAAATAAGAAACTTGACATTGCGCCGTCTGATTTTCACAATATGCGATATGCTTGTCTTTACTAGAAGCAACTGTGGTTAGCATTTCAAACAAAATCTCTATAAATATAATCAGATGATATGGTGCAGTCTGCGCATGCGCACATTAATCGTCAAGATTTTTTTCTTGGTTGAATTGCCAGAGCTAGAAGTACCGAATGCAAAATAAACGAACTAAACATCTATTAAGTACTATTGGAGTACTTAATGTCTCGGACGGACGGACGGACAAAGTGGCTACAATAGCGCCTTCCAACATTATTTGAAAAATGCGCTAAAAAACTGAACTTACAATAAAAGATACTGAAAAAGGTCTTACAGCAAAATTGTACACAATTTCCGACGCCATGTTTCTACAGTTTTTTTGTCGCCAGGGGCGTTATTCCAGTGGCGTATCAAGCCTGCATTTTTTTTAATGGAATACCCCATATTTTATTGCAGATTTCGAAAGTGCTTAAAAAGATATCCTGGCAGAACACATCCAGATCCAGGCGCGTTTCGAAAGGTGTTGGATAGATTTACAACTACTGGAAGTCTAAAACGAGCAAGGAGAGTTAACGGAAGCTAGTTTTGACGGAAGATAATGGATTGCAAATTCTCGGCGCGGCTGTTGACAGTTCTCGAATTAGTGTGAGTGAAATTATAGTAGCAACACGGATATTTCAATGAATTCTGTGCATCGTACCTACTCTTCAAAAGCACTATTTTTGGAATGGAATACTGAGAAAACACCTTCTGGGTCCTTATTTCTTGGAGGGACTCTTAGACGACAACCGCAGGTTCCGTCGGACGACTTGGTCGAACTCTTCGAAAATGTCTCTGTAGCCGCTCGACGACAAATGGTTTTCCAACACGATGCACATTATAACAGTTCGGGAATACCTTGATGAACGGTTTCCGGACTAATGGATTGTCCGTGAGGGCCCAGGAATGTGGCCGCCAAGATCACCAGACCTCGCTCCCCTTGATTTCTTCCTCTGGGGCTACATGAAGAATGAAGTGTACTGTCGTACCAACTACTGCCGAGGACATGCGGGAGAAAATTCATGCGGCTTTCCATGGTGTATCACCCGAAGCCCTCTGGGCGTTGTCTAGGGCTTACGAGTCCAGGTTTCGATTACGCCACCAACGGGAAGCTCGGCATTTCAGACATTTATTTTAAGTTGGTAGATTCGCTAAGCTCTTTCTTCGTGTCATTTTCATTTTTTTAGGTGTAACTCTACCCAAAACTCCTTTAGTAAACAAATAACCATATTTTTTAAATTTTTCAAACATGCAGACTTGGGTTCAAAAAAGAGCGTTTTTCTACTTGTTTTTTCTTTGAGGGTGCCATTTGAAATTTAAAAAAAAAATGACAGTTGGCAAAGGTCAATCAAAACTTTAATTTTTTTCGATAAAGTACCTAAAAGAAATTATTTAACAGTGGAAGAGATCCTAGCCTATGCTTCAATTGAAAACTTAGCCGCCGGTTTTAGTTTCTTTCAAAAATATTCGAAAAACTCAAATCTTAAAGAAAAAAGTTATAACAGCGAAATCGTTAAAGTTAAGGGTAAGTAATAATTGTTATTACATAACAAAATAAATCCCAGTAGTTTCTCAATCTGCAATAAAATATGGGGTATTCCATTTTTAAAAAACGCCACTGGAATACAGGACGCCTCTGGCGATCAAAAATATTTTAAAAACATGGCGACGGTTATGTACCTACAATTTTGCTCTAAGACTTTTTTCGGTATCTTTTATGGTAAAGGAATTATGATCCGAGGGTTCTTAACTTCTTAGATGCTACACCTTGTAAAAAATTAAACTATCGACGATAAACTAAATACAAAACGGTTCAGAGAAAGAGCAGTAACCGCTAAAACAGATAGTTTTGTGGAAATAACAACACAAACAAATTACAAAGTAAAGGGCAATCATAATTTTAGGTACGCAGTGTGTAAACTAATCTAAGCGCCCCTATAACTGGTAGGATTGGTGATATCAATGTAAATGTTCGTGGGTAATATTATGAATAAAAACTAACTGAAGGCCCTAAATTCTACTGTCCTATCACTTTCAGTTTGACCGGAAGTGACCATGAATTTCGAAATTTACAAGGCACACCTTGTAGAATTTTAAATTGTTGGGTTATACATACAAACTTTTCATCTAATAAATAGTTATTACGTTTAAAAATTAATTATACAATAGAAAAAATTAAAAGAATTATTAAAATCAATTTTGATAATTTTACCATTGTTTAAAATCCTTGTTATTGGTTAAATTACGTAAAATGGATTTGTGTGGTCCATTTATACCATTAACCCAGATAAAAATTTAATTTATTTTTTAACCAACCTGGAATAAATGACCGAAAACAACGTATCGTGTAAAATTGTCCAGTTGGCCAGTTAAATTTATGGTCACCTGCGGTCAAAGAGAGAGTTATAAAAAATACTATTTAAATTGTTAAATCCGTTTCGACTAATAATTTGACACAAGTTGCAGGGGTGAACCTAGTTTGGTTTGCACCCGGTGTGTTTTTGAAACGACAAATTTAGTGTACAATAAAAAAAAGAAATTTCCGAATATTAATAATCAATTTATTCTACACCAAAAACTGGTTAGAGAAGTTGTTTCAGAAATCAATGATCTTTAATATCACATGGGCCTCTTGTTAATTCAACTATACGGTCATTAAGGTAAAATAAAAAATGACAACAGGTCGCCTACCTGTCAAATATAGGGTTATACCGCCTCAGTAGGATGTGTATCAATGTCGACTGGTACAAGCTTCTTGATGAACACTCATGTAGTAAGACACCAAAGTTATATAACAATAACTACAGTTACTGATCGATCACAATTTATATTTATATTTCTACATCCGATTCTAAAACCACTTTAAGATTTTTCCATCTCGATTTGTGATATGGTGATTGTCGAGATACACGGTAGGCACTCTTGCTAAGTGCGTCTCTATTTGCCAACTAATCCAGGAAGGTAAATCTCTGTTCGGTATCTTAATGTAGTATCAGGGTTCTTTGCTATAATGGCAAAATGAATGAAAAATATTGACAGTTTTAAATGTTCAGTAACCGATACGAGCCAGATTTCAGGTAAAACAAACAAATATAAAAAACTTGAACTCGAACTGAGAACTTTCCATTGTAATTATAGGTACTAATCTCAAATACGCTGAAGTGTGTCGTTCTAAAAATATTGCACCAAGGGCAATAATATCATCGATAAGGAGTGTAAATAGTAAATCATGTATTATGTACTAAAAATAGAGCGTTTGTATAGATAGTTCGTAAAAGACGACTCTACTTCTTTTATAAAAGGAGGCAGTAGGACTGGCGACGCTGATATCCTATACTCGTGTACTGCCATCTGAATATGAGTTCCGCTGTGCAATTTCCGGGTTGCAATTGCCTGCTCGACCTGTAAAATTGATATTTAAATCATGTTAAATTTTCGCCTAAATTGTGTGTCCATGGCTAGCTCAATGTTACGAATGTTTAGTGCAATTACCTTTTGGAGAGTGAGCTTCTTTGGTACACCAGATAAATTTTAAACTCGTCCCCATTCCGTTCAAGGCCACTTTATTGCAGTTAACAAAACAATTCACTTACATACCAGGTGTCCAAGTTAAAAATGAACAGTATCAGGACTTCGGATACCGTAAAAGTTGGATATCCGAACGTCATTTTGTGGAACTATAAAAGTTGCAATGAGAAAGTGTCTTATTTAATGTTTCTCTTGAAAGTAACCTTAAAAAAATCACGATATTTCAAATATGGGAATTTCGTCAATTTCGCGTACTGAGGTTATACGACATTAGTCCATTTACCTCAAGATATTAGATGACAGAATTTAATTTTCCACGTTTAATTTTACGCATTAACCGGTCACATGAATTTGATTTATTCGCGATTTAAATTGTACGGATGTCTAATTTCGTCAAGTATCAGCGCGAGTTCTTTTCAAAAAAAACGGCCAACACCCTAATCATCGAATGGCACCCCGACTATAAACCACCCTGCGCTAATTTTCAAGTGTTTGACATAATTACTGTGGTCTTGTATCAACGCGAATTCGAGTAGCACACAACAAAATACACCCTGAGCTAACTTACAGGTGATAGACTTAACTTCGCTAGCGGCTTAACTCTAATTTCACACAAAATACCCCCCCCCCCCCACATGTGACCAACTTAACTGCGCTGGTGGCTTATCGCGATTTCTCTTTTGCAATTCCCTGATTGTTCTGTTGTCACTTTGAACAGTTTTGGGCTGACATCTCGGAAGGGAGGCGTTTTTCGACAAACCTACCTACAATATTGAAGTAAAATGAGTGGCGTCCATAACGTTGGAATTGAAGTGCAAAAAATGGGAGCGAATGGTAATCGGTATGAGAAAATAAGAAAATATTTTCTCATAACGAATATTGAAGTACACAAAATTTCCTGTATTTTTCATATGCGACTTTTTTGTAAAGCTAACCACACCATCGCTAGAGCGCGCCAAAGAAAAACAGAGTGCTGGGGGTGCATGCAATGTCATTAGATGCGTGTGTGATAGCGTAAGAGCACGCTAAAGGTCAACGTTCGCATCATGGACGCCACCAAAAGGTGTCAACGCGCGGTTGTGCAATTTTTGACGGCGAAAGTTGCGAGTGTTTCTGCTACCTTTCGTCGAATCCGAAATTTGTACACCATGGAGTGTATGAAATGTAGATCGACATTCCGATGGTGTAGGGATTTTCGTAGTGGAAGAAGCAGTACTGACGATAGGCCACGACCTGATTAAGCCTATGTGGTTATCACCCGCGAAGCAGTTGCAAATGAGGACCGTCTCGTAAAAATGAATAGGCGAATCACCACTCGAGAAATAGTGCACGAAATGTTTATGAGTAATGAACCAACTCCATTCAATGATTATTACCCGTTGATGAGAATGATGCAATCACTTTGTCCAACCACTAGAACCATAACCATGGCCATGGTGCCCAAGGAGCACAGACGTGTAGAGAGGTGATCGGTTTCAGGCAATTTGTTGCGGACCAGCTTTGTCTGCACTTCAAATTCATGTTCATTCGCCCAAAAAACAAAGAGCGGGAGAGAATAAAACTATAGCACAACTTTCCGCTGATCCCTCACTTCTTTCCTAATATGCCTAGTGACGACTGTCAAATAAACAGTATCTGTCCTGTAATCTAAACCAAACACCCCATGTTCCACCTTCCACGACTCACCGGCGTCTTGAGTTTTCAAACGCATAAACAAAGTTAGGACCGTATTTAAGGACCGCCCGCCCACGGAACAACACCAAAAAAGAAATCCTGGCAAAAGACTACTATCGTGTAAAATCGTCACAATCAAGAAATAAATCATCATCGGTAAAAAACAGAAGTCAACATCTTGTCAATCTACAAACACCATTTGCCCTTCAACCTCCAGCATGAGGGTTCTTTAGTCGCACCTTACGACACGGGTAAATTTATACAAAATCGAAAAAATGGAGGAGCCTACAAATGTAAATCATTAGGTATTGGCAATAGCATAACTATATTCCTTTGAAAAATATCCTAGTGCAATTTCATTGCCCTAAGGGAGAAATTTGCAAAAGAAGCATTATTTAAAAACTGTCATACGCGCTGGACAGCTAATTAATTGAATTTTCAGGAATTTTCAATTTTAAATTTTTGCAAGACACACCACGATTAAAAAGTGAATTCGTATTTGATAATTTTTCTAAACGACCGGTTTTAGAAATCGATATTCAATTTAATCCGTTAAAAGGTTACGCGGACATCGCTGTCCCTTCCCGCGCCTTAATATGAACCAGTTTTCTTTCAAGAACGCCACGCAAAAAATTCGACTGTGTGACGAAAGCGATAACAGAAAAAACTCACTTTTCGAGCGTATCTAATTTAATATGTGTGGTTTGAATTAAACATTTGTAAAAAAGGCGAAGGGGTTCCGGGTAGTCAGTCATGGAAGCTCCATGGTATAAAAAAAGCCTTATGTGTTTCTAAGGTCAATTATTATTAATATTGAAATTAAGCTGCTTCAAATAAGCAGCTAATGGACATTATATGACTTTAGATGAAAAAATAAATTAAACAATTATAGAAAACAAGCTCCTGGGTATGGCTATAGCATGTGCAAAACCAAATTTTTAAATCTGATGTTAGTTTTGCTTTTACTTAAAGTGTATATGTATGAAATTTCATTTAATTGCTTCCATAAATAAGAAATTTGGCACTGCACATCGAAATTTGGAAAATGGCGCTACATTCTACATTTGCTTTAATTCCAAGTGGCTATGTATCAAATTTCATTTAAATCCCTCCATAAATAAGAAAGTTGGCACTGCGCAAGCGCAAAACGAAATTTTGCAACTGGCGTTAAATTTGGTTTTATTCCAAGTGGCTATGTATCAAATTCCGCTTCGCTACGCCACTCGTGCCACAAGATAGTCGTATTACAATAGGTCGCATTGTAACACTTGTCTTTCAATATACTATTAAATACCTTCATAAATAAAAAAAGTTTGCAATTCGGTTTATAAATGGTCGAGATGCGAGAAGGGCACTGTGAATGTTGATCGATTAGGCTCAATTTTTGGAATTGCGTATTATATGGCTAAAGCTATGCGCAAATTGAATTTCATGCAATTCGGTTCATAACTCACGGAGATGTCAAAAGGGCCTTCCTCATTATTTGGGTTACATTGCCAATTCACGAACTGCGATCTACACATTTGATAAAGAATCCACCTACTAAATTTTATCTTAATTGGTCCATTCGTTATCGAGATATCGGGCTAACGGACGGACAGACACCTCAAAATTTTGAAGTAAATCTGAGAAATTTGTTGAAACTTTGTCGGCTTACTAGTCAACTCAAAAAAAGGTTTTTTAGCAGCTACCTTAATTTGGTTTTGGGTACACCCCTGGGTACACCATTCCAATCCTCCTGCATCTGTCCGCGTGCCACAGACAAGAGATAGAGTTAGTTTATTCCTAAAGAAAAAAACTAGTCGGCCAAAAAGATCTGCCTCATCACGTCCGGCCTGCCAAGTATGGTACAGGAATCATCATCCAATTTCTAATTAATTTTAAAATCTTTCTCTCTCTATCAATTATTATTTTTATCGTTCCTTTGTGTTTTGAAATGAATGATGCCTGAACTGTATGAAATTAAACTCCAAATAAATTTTAAAATATGTAATAGCATTTATTTTCAAAACTCGATAACTCGGAAACGATTGAATTTGGGTATATATGCTTCTTACAAATTTTGTTTAAAATTAAGAGAAGAATTTAAATATCAAATAATATACAGGGTGTTCCATTTAAAAAAATGCAATTTTGGTGTGTTACGCCTTTATCACAAACCCTGTATAATTAAAATTATTACTGCCTAGTAGACACGAAAAACCCCAAAATTACCGTACAATCCGATTTTGATAAAATTTAAGATATGTTAAATTGAAATTAACCTAAATAATATTTTCTTAACCCTATCTCCTAAGGTATTCATTTGTCGGGGAAATTCCAGGGAACGATCGTACACAATTAAACAATGCTACGTCTTAGCACAGACAAAGTCTTAGTTATGTAACGGAAGAAACCACGACCCTGCACTGAAAAAAAAGTTACGCAACGGGGAATTCCCAGGTCATGACCAAAACTATGACCGAACTACGACCAAAACCTATGGGGTGACCTATGGGGGAGGCTCTAGCTACTACTGTTGTACGAGTACATCTAATATTCTAATACATTGTGATGTAAAATACCAAAAATTGTGTGTTAAGTTCCATCATTTCACCTAAGCGCATTTTTGATATAGCACACAGAATAAGTTTTAACTTAAGCCATGCACGTTAAAAATGAATAAATTTCAATTCCTGGGAATCGAGATGATACTTTTGGACCTTATCCCAACAAAAATGGATGTATAACTAATAATTTTCAGATCATTGGGCCACACTACACTTTCACGCCTTGCCTTTCACTCAAGAATCTAATGCCGAAAAACTGAAGGTACTGTGATATTCTGGTGTTTAGATCTCGAGAGGTTTATAAAATTCGTCCAAATTGCC